GATGGATTCACAAATTTTCACGGGCTTTTTGTATAAGTTTCACGAATCTTCACGGATTTGCGTGGGTGGTCATCATGACGCCCTCCCTCTAGAGACCATTAATGGGGTTGCTGCCTGAGCAGCCAGCTCCAGCTTCTGGCCTGCCAGGTCAGACTGGTGATCGACCAAAACCCTCAGCGCCAGAGCCAACAAAGCCAAGCCGTGCTGCGCCCAAAAAACAGGCTACTGCTGGTGGTCTAAAGCCGCAAGAGGAGGATGAACTTGCTGAGCTGGCCGCAGCCCGACTTGACTGAGCAGGAATCTGAAGAGCCCTAAGTCATGACCTCAGGCAGATGCACATCGCATATTGGAGAACTTCAACAATCTCTCACACACCTGGAAAGGTTGCTGCTGCGGAGAAGGCTTCCCCCAAGGCTGTTTTGGGAAACTGTTCAATGGTTTCTGGCATTCTCAATCTTGTGAATCTTAGCTTCCCGATATTTCCCTGCAGGTCGATCGGTGGCAGGAATCACAGAATCCATTCGACGAAGTGGTTGGACAGCCAACCAACCTACGCAAAGGGAAATCCAATGACTCTTTGGGGCAACTCGTCTCCAACATTGTTTTGTCAGCAGGCTCAACCTTTCTGCGCTATTCAAAGCGTAGGTCAGCCCCTACGCTTCTACTTGCGCAGGCACGCTGGAACTGAATCAAGTTGTGAAGCCTGCTGTGGTGCCCAGAAAGCAGGATTTGTCGGACTCGTGGCTTGCCTACCTAAGAATTGGCGAGTTGGGTGTGCCTTTTTTTTTAAACAGTGTCTCATTTGAGGCCCCAGCGCTTCTATCTGGTGAGGATCCGCAGCAAGCTCTAATTGCTGAATTGACAAAGACAATTCAAGTTCTGCAAGCCCAGCTGGCCCAGCAGACTCTCAACCAATCGCAGGCGAATCGCGCTGCAACGCCAACAGCGCGCCGCGGCGACCCAGGACCAGGCCAGCGACCCTGCCACAGACCAGGCCATTCAGCACACCCAACGCACAGGGTGGCCTTGACGGCAAAAACCTCACAGAAGTTGAAGAGGTGGACTGCGAACTTCTTGGCCCACCGCACAGAGTGGATGATGTTGGGCCGGAGATTGCCAGGTTCTCGCGCACTAAGTGAGTTCCCACAAATGGCTGGATTTTTTGGGAAACCGTTTAGCTTATATGTTCTGTGAGAGTTCTATCAAAGTGGTCTTTCTTCCCACAGGCCCATCCTTTCTGGAGCACTGCAGTCCACCCTAGGAAAAGACCAGGGTGCTACGAATGTGGCTGGAGAACAATGAAGATTTGGATGCCACCGAAGCGAAGATCAAGTTCCGAGAGTGGCCTCCAGCTCATGACAGTTCAAGATATGGTTGATGCAAAGTTCTCTTCAACACCCAGCTATGGAAAGAAATGTTTAGGGGCCCCCTAGTTTGCTGACTAATGCTAAGATGCGTGGCAGGGCATCAGAATGTGTTGGACACGGTCACCTCGGGCGCCTTGGGGAAGTTGGGCCTGTGGCCAATGCTTTGCCTGGAACTATGGGCGTTCCTCGCTTTGGCTGACCAACTTGGGGAGCTTGTTGTCGCTCTGTTTGGCTCGCTGTGTCCCTGGCGCAGGCACGGCCTGCGGCCAAGACCAAGGCGAAGGCCAAAGTCAAGCAGCAGGCCCCAAACAATTCCTTTTCTTAGTGGTGTGTGGCCAGTGGCCACTTCATTTTTGGATGCTGCGAGAAGGAAATCAACAGCTGAAACTCCTTGGCGTTAGATTTGCCAGCGAGCAGTCAGCTTCGCACCAACCTACTGGATCTCAAGGGAAACTTTGAAGGTCTCCTGCAATCGTCCCTCGGCTGCCTTCAAAAGGATTACAACATTCATCCCTCAAAAACAGGAACACCTGTTAGCCTAGGTTGACGGATGGCGGGCCCAAGCAAAATTCGGAAGGCCGCCAAATGAAGGGTCACTCATTACCCATTCATGCGTGCGTGCAACCCGCCCACAACGTCAATAAGATTTGCACACTTTGAATCTCGTTTGCCCGCTCTATTTTGTTTGCATTTGCTTGTGTGGCGGAATCTGGGAATGGCGTCAGCGCCTAGCTACTGATGCAACAATACATCGTGCAACGGCCGCTCTTCTGGGAAAAGGCCACTTTGTCGCGTCAAAGGCCAAACATGTTGGACCATGGTTGTTTCGAGCTTGCTGTCTTGAGGCGCATCTCGCAACTTTGGCGGAACCCATGTTTGAGTGGAGCAGCTGCATGACTGCTTCGTGCGCCAGCACTTCTCGGTTTTGCCTGTTTGCCCACGCAGGTTCCCATGAGCGAACTGTTCGACAACGGCTGGATGAAGCGTCCTCGGCCTAAGGGCTTGCCGTTGTCAAAGGGCAATTGTGAAAAGGTTGTCGCTTTGGGGTTGGCCTGTTTCTTTGAGGTTGGCCCGATCCATTGGGACTGGACAAAGCACAATTCAGAATGCAAGTGAGCTCCACGCAGCTAAGCAAGCGCCATCAAGAAGCAGAACGAGGCGACCTCGTTCAGATGCCTTCGGTGATGTGACTTTTATTGATCACTGTCAAGTTCCCCTTGGGACTGGAGAACATACCATCAAGTCTGTCAGTTTGGGTGGAGCTACAACATAGCTCACTGCGGAGGTGGTGAGCGCAACGCAAGAACAGAGAACATCACCATCCTCAGGAACTATTTCGGCCAGTGCCACTTGCAGCCCAAAACAGGCTGAGATCACGCCTTCATGACGGACAAGTGGGAACCCGTTTGCTTGGACCAAACACACCACAAACACACCGTGGCCGAACCGAGCGGAAACAGCAGTATGACTCTTGAAGGCGAACTCAAGATCATGAAGCGCCTCCGACAACTTGTCAAGGCCGCTGCAACAGTCAGGAATCAGACCGTCGCAAGCTTTGCACTCACCGCGAACCTTCTCGAAGAGGTCGTAGGTTGACTTTGGTAAGTGAAGCACTCGAGTTCTACATCGAATACTCATGCGATGATGCTGGAGGGAGGGAACTTGTCGCTTTTGCCGTCAGCATGGTTGAGGCCCTTCATAGCGATCTCCCCACGAAACCCAGCCTAGCCACACGACAAGAGCATCTGGTGCTGAAAGCTCTTGACCTATTGCATCCGTTGTCAGGGATTGCAAAACTCGGGTGTGTGGCCATTAGCCGCTAGTAGGCTGTGACTGGTCGTGACTGAGAGGTTGTGAGCAAAAACTGTACCGTCGTGGATCAGTTTCTTCACGATGCTCTCATTGTCCTGCAGGACAATGAGAAGCATCATGACTGGCCATCGTCGCATGTCCTGCGCTGGAAGTGCCAGCCACTTGTCAGCAGCCAGCTGTTTGGCGGGTTGTTCCTCTGGTTTCTCTGCGACGGCGTCGAACGTTTTGGACTTTGCCTTATCTTCTCCGCCTTTCCCGTTTCCGCCGTTGTGTGATGAATAACTGTTGTTTCCATCGAAAGGACTCTGATACTTGCATTTTTCCGTTTCTCCCTTTCTTCCCAACATGCCTGGCGTAGAGGTCCTGATGTTCGTTGGCCACATTGGCCGTGCCGTCTACGGCGCTTGGAAAGAGTTTGAAACCGCTTTGCCGGTGATTGCCCTCTTTGCCTCAAATTCCGCCCTGACACCTTGCTGACTGCGAGTGCGTCATGCTCTTCGAGGACCCAAATTGTCTCCTCATCGAAAGCTTTGTTTATATCTCTCTCCTTGTTCAAAGAGATTCTGCCGAGAACCTCCTGGTGGACGAAGTGTTGGGGTTTGAATCGAGGTTCTGGTAGTGATGAAGAGGTAGTGATACTGTGTCTTCAGCAGCTCGTATGTGCAATTCTCCAACTAAATGTTCCTCAACGATATGGCCAGCTTTCTCTCTGCTAATCTGACTGTGCAGTGAGGTTATCATTGAGTGGAAACGCGTCTCGGTGTCTCTGGGTCGTCCGGGCTTCGTTGCTCTTCTCTGGTTTGCGTCTTGCGCTGGTTGCAGGCCCTCGAACCATCTCGAACCTGAGCGCAGGACCGCCCCGGGCCACCCCATAGCCCTCGCGGAACCGGACCCTGCAAAAACCTTGGCTGCCTGCGCCGGACCACCCCGAAACTTTGTCATGGGCTGAGACCCCTTGGCTGTCAGCTGCTAGGGATTAAAGGGAAATGAAGGAGAAATGAAAAAAGGACAATGAAGGGGAAATCAATGAGAAATGAAAGTGCAAACAAGGGATTAGAAACGAAGGGAAATGAAGGGGACACAATGGAAAACGAAGGGCAAATGAAAGGCAATGACGTGTGCATGAAGGGGACATAGATTGGAAATGACGTGTGCGTGAAGGGGACATAGATTGGAAGTGAAGGAGACATGAAGGGGAAATGAAGAGAACAATTAATGGGGAGTTAATCGGACAAACATGGTCTTCTTTGCTGTTCCGTTTCTCTCTGCAAGTTGCAGAATGCATTGTTGCCTTTCTATTCATCAGCCTCAACCCCGTCATACAGCAATTTTTAAATTGCTGTGATGACAGTCTTTCTAATAAAGCGTGACCACTTGTGACACAATGTTCTATGTGTTGTTCTTTCAAACATTTAGGTACTGCTTTTGTACTGTACTTAATGTGGGGCAAACAGGGTTTCGCAATAACACACAATACTTGTACGACACATATAAGACAGCAAGCCCGTAATGGCGGCGGCTATGCCAACGGCGTTGAAGCTAAACTCGCGTTAAGCATAGCGGTCGCCCTCTGGTTGCAAGATGATCTTGATGTTCAAACAACCCCTCGACGTAAACAAACCACTTCAAAACAAGCCTGCACCATGAAGTGGCAAGGGCAGAACCGGGCTTTGGCCCTGCACCTGTTTGTTCAGGGAGCAAAGGCCTGAAAGCTTCCAAAACAAATTAGAGTGACACCAAAAATCTGGCTCTATGCTCCCAAAAGCCATGGTCAAGGAACAACAGAGCCGATGCGCAGCGCCCCCAAGGTGCACTCGGGTCCTTGGTCCAACACCTGGCTGTGTTCGTGCGGCAGCTCCAGCGGGCGCTGGTTGAACCGCTCCTACAGACACAAACCCTCCGTCGTCCTTCGTCCTTCGTCCTACTCGGGCTTTGCAAGTAACAGAAACCCAATGTAAAGATTCCCCTATACGAAGATATAGCCCGTGTGAACCTTGGATTAACCAAGTCCTCTTTCCTGTTTGATTGAATTTTCGCATGGGCTGGTGATGCTTGAACGCCCAGACTCAGCTCAACAATTATGTGCCAAGTTAGTCTTGCCCAACTCCAGCCCTCGCCAAAATTGCCGTTGAAGAGCAACTGTTGTCGGTTGGCACTGAGGGGCCGACTGTCACACTGTGAAAGTGCGTCTTGAACAGGCCAACCGACAAGGCCAACCTCTAGGCTCCTGCAAGCCGCTCATGTCGGCAACCTTGCTCAAAGCCCCCAGTGGGATCACCGGAGGGCCCCGGAAGTCCGCAATCGTCCTATCGAGCGCTCGAAGACATCGGAAGGCCCCAAACCAAAAACAAAGTCGGACAAACGGGTATCGAAACAGCGCTGAAGTTGTGAAGGCTACAGACCACGAATAGCCAATCTTGGAGCTTCTGGGCAATCTCTTCATGAAATTTGCGAGGAGCAATTTCTCGGAGCGATCTTTCAGTGACATTCCTTTTGGTGCTCCATTCCACTGTAGAATCTCTCAGTGATATTCCTCTGTGCAATCTCTCAAGCGATTTTAGCAGCAACACTCTTCGCCATTCTTTCAGGAATCTGCGAAGACTAGCTGTTGAACCTGGCCCAAAAAGAACAACATCTTGCATCTGTGAATAGCAGCCATTTCAATAGCACTACAAAGCACCAAACTCATAAACTTGACAATGATCAGATCTTGTTTTCCAGAAGCATGCAGGCACGCATGCATCCTGCTTCCACAATCGACAACTCCAAAAGTATTAAGCCGCTGTAATGTTAGGGAGTGAATAATAAAGGGCCCCCCCCCCTCAAACAAAATGGCGGGGGTCAAAAGAGGAACCCCCAAAAGCAAAATGAGGGTCAGACCGGGTCTTCCCTAAGTAGTATTCCAGTAAGTATTGGTTTGTATTGGTTTAGCATTGGTTTAGTATTCTTGCTGACTGGCTTAGTACTGCTTAGAATTGGTTTAGTAATTGGCTTAGTATTCTTGCTGACTGGGCTTAGTACTTGGTTTAGTATTCTTGCTGACCGGCTTAGTACTGCTTAGAATTGGTTTAGTATTGGTTTAGTATTCTGGTTGACTGGCTTAGTACTGTTTAGAATTGGTTTAGTATTGGTTTAGTATTCCCTGGCCCCAGTTCTAAAAAACTTTTCTCAATTTACCCCTCTTAAACACATCTCATTATTGGCTTCCGGGGTGTTCCCTGTACTACCCCCCTGAAAATTTGGCAGGGTGCAACTTTTAATAAGGGCTGTCATAAAGAATTTGGTTGTTGGGGCCTCAGTTAAACTTCCTTTTCAGGGACTTCAATCATCATCTCCTTGTTGGTGTTGGTGGTGGGGGGCGGGCGGGGCAGAGAGAGACAGGAGTTGCACTGAACTAGGGATTAATTATCAAGCTTTTTTTTGGGGAACATGTTTCCGGATTTTTTGCCACTCACAAAAACTTTTGTGTATTAACTCCCCCTTTTGCTTTTCAGGGGTGTCAATAATTTTGGGTTTTTTTTGCGTATTGACTCCCCATTTATTATTCGCAACCTAACATTATCTCGAAAAATTCGACGACCCCTCCAAAGGCGTCTCTATTTTGCTTCATACCGTTGCCCCTTTGCACTTCAAAGGCCGTCCCAAAATTTCGGGTGAAGCCAACCCCAGGGCGCAAAAATGGGGAGCCCGTCCTGGGTTTGTCCTCTGCCACAGCTTCACGCTCATTAGGCTGCGGCTCCTGAAGGCTAACGCGGATGGGCATCTGGCAATTGTTTGGAAGCAGATCCATCTTTGATCAGATCCGTCTTTGTACATCAAGACCATTTAATGTCTTGGCGGATCCTCTGGAGCTCAGATTTTATGCAGACCCAGGAAAGGGAATTTCCAAAAATAGAAGTTCGTGAATGTTGCCTGCTCCCTTGAGCGAGAAACCAGCCTAACCCTGAAACTAACTAGGTACGTGAACAACTTGTTCATGACCCCTGTCGAATCTCTGCGCAGGATCAAAACAAACCATTGGACGCTGTCAAACTGTCCGACGCTGCCAAAAGCGGGAAACGGCCCGCAGTACCGGAAAAACACTCACCCACATCCCTCAGACATCCCACAATTCTAATCAATTTGTTCTAAGGCAGGGAAAGTCCAAATCACACGGATGTCGTTGGCAGCTGCCGTGTAACTCAGAGTCACCAAGTTTTGAAAAGCATTTGGACAGCGCTTCCAACCATGGTACGAGTCATTCCAGGCTAAGTGCAATCGGACCGACCGCGTACGTTCCTCATTGCAGTCCCAGCTGAGATCCACGGAGAGCTGAGCCCTGAGCTTCGCAGTCGAACGCTGCACGGGATCCGATCGAATCAGAATCAGTCGAACGGTTCGAATCCGTCGGGCTAGACCCGCTCCGAAACCCAGCAAATCGGGCAAATGAGCGAACCGCCAAGTCCAGCGACTACAGCTCCAGTTGCTCTGTCGGGATTTTGAATCCAAATCTGCGCCCTGCAGGCGGGCTGCTCCAGTGGCCCGCCAAGCTCATCAAGTATGGCCGAGTCCTCCTGTCACTTGACAGGATGGACCTTACAGCTGGCGCTCTGATGGAAGTTCAATGGAATGCGGATGACTTGATGACCAGTATTCCTTTGTCAGCCCGCTTCCGGAATGTTCGTTTGAGAAACTGCCCCAACTTACCCCTGAGTTTGGCCCAGGTTCTGGAAAGGCAATTCACGAGTGTCTCACATCAAACGTGGCCATGAGTCAAGGGGCGGGCCCCTTTCAACCCCTTTGAAGGGGTCGGCAAAAAAGGCGGCAGAAACGGGTCCCACAAAAGCCCCGTTTCGACGGCAAACATAGCGTATCTCCTGCGCGCTCTTCTCCATACCTTTGGAAGTTCCTGGCGTGACGAAAGCCCGAAAGCCACAGTCTCTCTGTTCATCTCGCCCCGTCAGTGTGCCCTTTGACATGGGACAAGGGGTGGGGGACAGTGGGCGACCCCTCTACCCCAGTGCAGCACATACGTATGGAAGGCTCACAAGCTTCCATTCTACAGCTATGGCCACTATGATGGGCTCACTCACGGATTTCAAAGTCGGTCACTCAAATGCGGAAGCATAGTCGGTCACTCACTTTCCGCACAAAGGTGGCCCGCGGCTTCAACAACGGGGCCTCAATCTTAGAAGCCGTGATGCCAAGTTGCTGCCGTATGATATAAGCCCGGGGCGGGATGAAAATTCCGGATCTAATCCTGAGATAAGCAAGCAGAACGTTGTACTCAATGTCTGCCAAGGTTGATTCCGTCTATGAGAAAGGAAAAAGGAAATCCATCCTGCTCCGCATTTTCCGACGTTGTGGTATTACGTTGTTCCTCCTTTAATGATAGGGTCCTCTATTGTGGCAAGTGTTTGCCGGGAAAAAATGCCAAACAAAAACATCCGGGCAAAAACAACTGTCCACAAAAAGCGGGCAACAAAACTGGCTAGCAAATCCGGCAAACATTGGGAGTTCCCTTTTTGAAGTGATCCCCAAACCATCCAATTTTAGACAAATTCTTTACACAAAGCTAAGGGCAACCAGTCTCACAACGGGGGGTTGCCCAGAATTGAGCTGCAATTCCCAAACTAAAGGGCTTTCGTCTCTTACTTTAAAAGGGTGGCAATACCAAACTAAGTAGTGGGCATGCTGAATGTCATGGCAGCACTAAAGCAAGCATTAGCAAGTCCAAGTCCCAAAGACACGCCCAGGTTTTTCATTAAAGAGAACGTTATTTTTAGCAGGGGGGGAGGATTGAAGAGGGTTCAACATTACTTGCTCGTTTTGGCGTCCTGCATTTGCTGGTGTCCCCCGTCCCAGCAGATCCCGCCTTGGCCTTTCGAGCTGCGAAAGGAGCTGCAAGAGAGGTTTCCTGCGTGAGCCGAAGACTTGGTCTCCCTCAAAGTCTTACGAGGAAACCCCGACCTTGGATTCCTGTAGAAGAACTGGAATTTTCCCCTTTAGTAGCACCTGCGGATGCACCGCCGCGCCGGGGTAGTTGAGGGCTACATAAGTTTCCTAAATGTGGCGTGATATCTGTGCTCTGGGAGTCGTTGTGTTGGCCTTTTAGCAGGGTTGCCTCTTGTGGGTGCGCACAGGCGGGGTTGCCTTTTCGATCGAACATTTGATTGGCGCGGCGCAGGCTTATACAGGCTCAAGCGGTTTTTGCGCCCCACTGAAGTGCCCACCTTGGGATGATTTGACACAGCGTTGCCTCCCTAAGACCCACCGACACAATCTGACAAGCACTCGGTTTGAAGAAAACTTTTGAACTGCGGAGCCGGTGGTTTGTGGAGTCTGCAAGCTGGAGGTTGGATGAGATTGGGAGTGGGGGCCAGGGGTGGGGTGGGAGAACGTGTTCGTCACAGCACGGCCACAGTGGAAAAATGATCATGACTTCATCGCATGGCCCGCGTGGCATTGATTGCGCGGTGCAAAAGTGCAAGCAAGCACAAAATCGTTTGTGCTCGTGCAGATGCGACCGCGGAAATTCTCAAGCATTGACTATTGTTGTTTCTCCAACTTATTGAAACAATTAATCTATGGAACGTATCTCGTCTTCCTAGTGTTCCAGTTCATTGGAAAGCTAGACTACAAAAACAACTAGTTCTCAAATCATCGTCTATTTGGGTCTCCATTGTTCCACTTGCTCTGGTTAACCGCAAAGGGACGGGTGCCTTTTTCGGGAATTCCAGGTACAGTTTGCCTGATGACCTCAATAATTCCTAGTCCTGAATCTTCAGCATAGGTTGAAAAATTCAGCATTTTGACAATTCTGAATGGGTGCCGTTTGAAGACCTCCAGTTTCATTTTGCTTCTCTCGCTTTCCACATACAACATCTTAAAAATGTATGATATTTAAAACATATTGACCAGTGTACTGGCAGCAATGCCAATAATGCTACTTATTCCCAAAGGGGCGTGTGCCTCTTGGGAAGGTCCCAGCCCCGCAGTCTAATACTTCTTACTCTGCTAGAATGCCAGCGGCATTTTTCCATTGTTTCAACTTAACCAAATTACTCAAAAACCAAACTAAAAATGGATGGAGCAATTATAGATGCATATAACTGTTCTACTTGTTCCAAAAGGGGCGGAGCTTTGTTTACTCATTCTTCTACTTGCTCTGATTATTCTATATAACTACGCTTCCCCCAAACATTTTACAAGAGATTGGTTCCTTTTGAAGGCTTCCAGAGACAGTTTTGCCATTTGTTCCTACAAAGGCAAGCGCCTCTTCGGGAACTCTAGGCAAGTAACTCTAGGTAAGTAACTCTCATGCAATTGCTGGAAATACTTTGCATGGCTTGGGGCCAAACATGGGGTGAGTGAATCATTGCAATATTTAAGAGTCCCGGGTTTTGCAACTGTTGTAATTACCGGAGTTCAATTCCAACAGTTTCAATAGTTGCAATATTTAGGGGTCCCAGAGTTTGCACTCATTGCAAGTGTTTGAATTAATTGGCCTGGCTTGCGGCCACACCTGGGACGGTTAATTATTGCAGTTTTTGAGTTATTACATTTACTGCAATTAATCGAATTGAATTCCAGTAATTCCAATAATTGCAAGTGCTGAACGTGAAACATCACATGATAGCCGTTTTTTGTGTCAAGAAAAGGACCTGCAGCTGAGCAGGTTATGAGCCCAAATTTATGGCGATGTTAGCTCGGCGCCGCAATGGCAAAGGTTCCGGGAACTCCTGACGGGCAAGGACCGGAGCCGCTGCCGCTGAGAAACGTGGGCCAGGCGGAGGACGCTGGGGCCACGGAGGCGGATGGGCAGGAAGCCCAAAACGAAGAGAGAGGCCAGTCTGGGCCTGCGAATGGATCACCGGCGGATGCCCGCGGGTTGGAGCTCATCGGCCAGGAGGTGGCGGTGCTGCAGAACATGGACGCGAGCAGAACCCCGGCGGCGAAGGGATCGGAGGGCACGATGATGCCGAGGAGATTGTGGTCTACGGCGGCGGCATCAGCGCAGAGAAATCCGTGGGCTACAGCAGGCGAACAGAGGGGTGGAGAAGGTCAAGATCCACCGCATGGGGCGGAGGACCGCAGGTGACCCGGTGGTCTATGGGCCACTCTTCACGCCGGAGCAGCTGGAGTACCTGGAGAGGTGGGATAGGCCGGGCGGACTGGTGAATCTGGGTGGCAAGCAAGCTGCAGCAGAGTCTGAAAAGGCCGGACTTTCTGGAACTTAAGCTGAAGGCGCGCGACCAGTGCCACGGCCCGATCGGATGCAGGAGTACCTCATGATGGAGGCTTCGAGCGGAAAATGACAAGCTCAGGAAGGGCAACCAGTCGGAGGAGACCTACGCCACACCGGACATGGAGGTGGAGAAGCGAGGTGTTGGACGAGTACCTGATCAGGGACATCGCGAAGGCAAACCTGGAGAACGAGGTCAAGGGCAAGCGGCGGAATCTTCGGAGGAGCTGATCAGGGAAGATCAACCTCAAGATGGAAATGCGCACCTGCTCATGGAGGGCATGCAGCAGATTCAAAAGAAGATCTTGGATAATGGTCATGGAGGAGATGCTCACTCTGGTGGGAGCTGATGCTCAAGCACACGAAGAGCTGGTACGACAAGTACATGACGGAGCCCCCACTATAACGGCTGTTGTTGACTCCGACAGCCCCCATGGAGGTGAGTAATGGGAAATGGAGAAGGGTGGAGCGCCGTGCGGTGACGTTGCTCATGAAGGCCCTGCCAGACCAGGTCAAGGAGGAGCTGATCGCGACCAAGTGTGCAGATTGATGCTGCTGTACCAGCCAGGAGGAGTGGCAGAGAGGTCGTCTATCCTCAAGAACTTGGAGCAGCCGCAGGAGGCGACGACCATTCAGGCGGCGGTTCAGGGGATCAGGAGGTGGCTGAGCTGGAAGCGAAGAGCAGAAGAAATCGGGGTTTCCTTGCCAGACCCTTCGGTCCTGAGCAGAGGATTGCACAGGCTCACCAAGAAGGTGCTGGAGGGCAACAAAGACCTGAGCTTCAAGATCAGCCTGGCTAGATCGACATTACAGGTGGACACCGTGCCTAACTGCGGAACGATCAGCACCTACTGTGAGCACCTCTTGTCGGAGCTTGAGCAGCTGGTGCACACCGAGAAGAAAATAATCAAGGCCCCGGACTATGACGGAAAGATCAAGAAGGTCGAGGGAGCCGGAACAGCTTATGGAGGCGGAGGTGGAAAAGGCTGGGAAGGGTGGTCTCCTAAGAAAGAAGGGGACGTGCGAGAAAAGAAGCCCTGCCGGTACTACCTCACGGATGTTGGATGTCGGAAAGGGCGGCAATGTACGTTTAGCCAGAGACGAGAAGAACCGGTGCTATGAGTGTGGAGCGGTGGATCACCACCGCTAGGACTGCCCGAGGAAGCAGCAGGACAAGGAGGGTGGCACAACCGGGCCAAGAAATCACCCGAGAAGATCAGACCGAATCCTCGGGGGCGGCATCGTCAGCGGCAAAGGGGAACGCGAAGAACGCCAAAGACTCCAAGGAAGGAGACGGGCATCGGTGCTGGAAGAGGCCGGGAAGATGCTTCGATCCCTCAACATCAAGGCGGCTACTTCGACGGGGCGCGGTGACAGAGATGTGAGGCTCAACGACTTGCAGAAGCAGCTGGACCAGATGAAGAGGTTGAGAGCCTTGAGGTTTGTGAAGGTGTCAAAGATTGACTACCTGCCGGAGTACGGGTTGCTGGACTTGGGGGCGACGCACGCTATGCGAGGAGTATGTGAAGCAGAGCAGAGCCTTGAGGAGATCCAGGTCGAGCTGGCGGGTGGGGAGAAGAAGCTGCTGAGGATGACAGCAGGGAAGGTGATCGTTTATGAGGATGACAGAGTGCAGCCTATTGTCCGTCTTGGGATGCTGGTCGAGAAGTTGGGCTGCGAGGTGAGATGGAGCAGGAAGGGGGGCTTGCCAATTGAAGCATCCGGTGATGGGTGAGATTCAGGTCCGGATGAACGCGGGATCCCTCAAGGTGGAGAAGGAGATTGCGCTCATCAACGCTCTGGAGGAGCTGGAGGTGGATGAATGAGGAGAGCCTGGTGTTGAACCTGGCAAAAAGGAGGAGGTCTTCAAGGGCGTCCCGATGGATCATGGAAAAGGTGGTGGTACCCACAGCCAAGGATTTGAGCGGAATACCGCTGAATCGATTCCGGAGGAGGAAGCTCTTGGATGGCTTCGTGCTGCACCTCTACGCGGGGAGGATGACGGCTACACGTTGGGAAGAGCGCTCAAGGAGGTCGGCGGGGACAAGACTCGCTTGGTAGAAATCGATGTGAAGCGAGGACCTCGGCTCTACGCCTCCTTGACGCACGCAGTGCTGAACGGCCTGATCTTGGGAGCGGTTGGTGGTCCGAACTGCAGGACGAGAAGCGTTTTGCGGCACTATCCTCTTCCGGCAGGCCGCCAAGGCCAGTGAGGAGCTCGGACCCGGAGCGCTGGTTTGGGCTGCCGAAGCTGGATCCGGAGGAGAGGACACAGGTGTGGGAGGACGACGTGCTTCTGTACCGCATGGTGATGATCTTCTGTGCGGCGGAGGAGGGTCCGGGCTACATGCCGGACTATCAAAGGCTGAGAGATGATCATGGGTTGGTGGAGCGCCGATTCCGGCAAGGGGGCTATGGAGGTGCTGCGATGGTAGCTACGAACCTACACGTGGAGATGCCAACAGCCGGATCTACGACGGCACGGACGAGGAGTGAAGCGCCGGTGAAGTCATCGGCAGATCTGTCGAGATGGGCTCTAGGCATGATGAGGGAGGTTGCCCGGGCGGTGCAGGAGGAGGTGTTTGGGAAGCCAGCAAGAAATTGCAAACTTAGTTGGCGGGAGGACTTGTTGCACGGGCACACCCCTTTCAGGCGGCACTGCCGGGTCTGTC